TCAACAGCACTTCACAGTTTTGAAAGAATGTATAAATATGCTCTTATAAGCTTAATTCTGTTTTGTTAATTTTTTTTAATCTTGTATCTCAGGAAATCTGTCATTAGTAGTCATCTTCCTGTAATTCTCACTAACAATTTGTGAGTTAAATAATTTTAATAGAAACATTAGAGAAAAATGTAATCAAAATTTAAGTTCGGAGCCGGGTGGTGGTGGCGCACGCCTTTAATCCCAGCACTTGGGAGGCAGAGCCAGGCGGATCTCTGTGAGTTCGAGGCCAGCCTGGGCTACCAAGTGAGTTCCAGGAGAGGCGCAAAGCTACACAGAGAAACCCTGTCTCGAAAAACCAAAAAAAAAAAAAAAAAATTTAAGTTCGGAATGCTAAGTAACTCCCTCCAAACCACATAGGAGTTACTAATTTCCTTCTCTGAACACTACCACCCTTTCCTCTGTCAATAATTATACAATTTAATCACCACTAGACTATCAGTCATTCTTTGATCTCCTTTAAAGGCTACTAGCAGAATAAAATTACTTAAAGTAGAGAATTCAAACATTTTAGTGCAAATAATGTTATTCCGTACTAACAAGAGCTTTGAAAATTCGACATTTTCCACTTTGAGCTTGTTTGGAGGTGTGATGGCTGACTGTGTGCATATGATGATGGCCAGCTGTGTGCATGTGATGATGGCTGTGTGTATGTGATGATGGCTGTGTGCATGTGATGGCCGGCTGTGTGCATGTGATGATGGCTGTGTGCATGTGATGATGGCTGTGTGCATGTGATGATGGCTGTGTGCATGTGATGATGGCTGGCTGTGTGCATGTGATGATGGCTGTGTGCATGTGATGATGGCTGTGTGCATGTGATGATGGCTGTGTGCATATGATGATGGCTGGCTGTGTGCATGTGATGATGGCTGTGTGCATATGATGATGGCTGGCTGTGTGAATGTGATGACTGTGTGCATGTGATGATGGCTGTGTGCATGTGATGATGGCTGTGTGCATGTGATGATGGCTGTGTGCATGTGATGGCTGGCTGTGTGCATGTGATGATGGCTGTGTGCATGTGATGATGGCTGTGTGCATGTGATGATGGCTGTGTGCATGTGATGATGGCTGTGTGCATGTGATGATGGCTGTGTGCATGTGATGATGGCTGGCTTTGTGCCTCCAGTAATCCTCCAAATCCTCCACCTTTCTTTAAAAATCCCACTTTATTTTTTAAAAGAATTTCTGATACCAAACTGGACAGAGAAAATCCCACAAGGCCTCAACACTACACAAGCAACTGAAAAAAACTGAGAGCAGGAGAGGTGACCTTCCCCAGGGAAGAACACACCACTGGTTGTCCAGTGCCAAACAGTCAGCCCTGAAAACATACATACCAATAACATTATAAGGACTGAACAGATTATATTTAGGAAGATACATACATATGCATAATATACATAATCATATAAATATACACATATGCATGCAATAACAATTGATGAAAAAGAGGCCATGAATTTGAGGGAGAACTAAGAGGGTATATAGGAGGGTTTGGAGGGAGGAAAGAGAAGGGAGAAATGTTGTACTTATAATCTCAATAAATAAATAAAGAGAAAAAACTTAACCTCATATATGAGTACTACATCTACATCATTTCCACCCCCACACAACTCTTCCCCATCCCATTTTAAGACAAGCATGACTAATGTCAAGAAACACCATCAGGGGCTGGACAGATGGCTCAGTGGTTAAGAGAATTGGTTGCTCTTCCAGAGGACCCAGATTCAATTTCCAGCACCTACATCAATGCTCGCAACCATCTGTAACTCCAGTTCCAAGGGATATGATGATCTCTTCCAGCCTCTGTGGGTACTGCACACGTGGGAGGCACAGAAATACACACAGGCAGACACACATAAAACAAAATAATAATAATTTTAAAAATTAAAAAACTGTCAGCACCCCAAGTACAGTCCTTATAGGGGAGGTAAATTGGAAACCCGGGCTAGCTAAAGAAAATGACCACTGTAGTGACTGCAGTTATTACATGCTTTTAAACCAGAACGAATGAGGTTAAGAACACCTTAGGTTGTCTCTGGCTTCCACATGTGCACCAAAGCATGTGATACCTGAGTGGGAGTGGGAGCATGCGCGCGCGCACACACACACACACACACACACACACACACACACACACACACACGCTCACAGACTGACAGGGAGGCTAAGCCAGTGAAAGGCAGGAGACAGCACAGCAAGGAAGCTGACAGAACATCTGGTTAATCTAACCACCCAAATTAACAGAAGACACTGAAGACCAGAGAGAATCCAGGGGCTCACCCGGTGTTCCACAAGTTAATGGCTATAAAGTTAAAGCCAACAGGTGCTTTACTCTATGCTTTCCTGGGTTGAATGAGAGGTGTCGCTCAGAGCATCAGCCGATAATCTCTAAGGCTTTATATACTGACACAGAAAAATTGTTCATCTTGCTAGGTATGGCCCAATGTGATTTGGGGTTTGTCTATCTATCAAGAAATGTCCTGATAAAGATAATGAACATAGTCATCACATTAAGCCTGTATTTGCCTGTATGGTTAATGCATTCAAAGTCTTTTCCAGGTATTTTCAGTTATGTACAACACAATACTGTTAACTTCACCCTACTGTGCCACAGACCACTAGAACAGGTCTCCTCTCTAACTTGAACCCATTACCCAACCTCTGCCAGTCATCTTTAATAAATCTATTTTTAAGTAAATTCAGTCTTCATTTACTCTGAGTGTACCTCCTGCCACAATAGTGTTCAGCCTGTTTATGTTCATTTCATAGCTCCAACTCTAGATATCCCCATGGCTACAGGTATGAGCTCAGAATGAACACAGCCTTCTTCTGCATAGATGCGTATGTTCTGGGCATCTGGCTGGACCAGATTACACCAACCTCGCAGGTACTGGGTAGGCTCATGCTTCCGTGTTAAGTAAAACATGAGACTTATTGTGGTCCCAGAGGATTGGCCTGTGAGAGCACGTCTCTGTTGTTTTCAAGAAACGTTAGACAGGAAATGCTTTCGAGGTGTTACTAAAGAAGGTGAACTGTTAATAAAAATAAAACAAGTCGGCTTTGCTTGGCTGAGCTGAGAGATGTTTTTCAAGAATTTCAGTGTGAATCAGCTAATGCCTGGCTAAGCAAACATGCATGATAACAGTGACAACAGCTAACTGCTAGCCAGCATGTGCTGTCTTCCCAGAGAACTCACAAGAATATCTTTACCCTGACAGCAGTCTACGCCACAGCTATGGCAGCTTCCGTTTTACAAGCTGGGTTCAACAGGTTAGTGACCTTGATTCACAATTTCTCAGACTGAGTTCTTATAGTACTTGTCATTTTAACCAGTGTCTGGGATCTCACGAAATCGGCAGCACATTCCCTATAGGGGGAAAAAATGAGTTTGAACATATGCACATGCCCTTTGAGTTTATAATTACTCTCATAGACTGAGCTCTGGTCCAAGAATTTGAGCCCGGAATAGAGTTTATAAAATGAAGGGGAAGCTAGTCACGGACATGGTAAACACAGGAACCCGCTCCAATTATCCCTATTAGACTAAATATAAAATAGAATCCAAAGTCCCTTGAAGTTAGAGAGATGGTTCTGTGGCTAAATCACTAGGTGCACTTGTAAAGGACCCAAGTTTGGTTCCCAGCTCACAGTTGCCTATAATTTCAGCTCCAGGGGTTTCATCACCTTCTTCTGGCCTGTTGGGGCATCTACATGCATGTGCATGAGTGTGTGTGCATACATTCATGTGCATATACACATATTAAAAACAAAATATTTTTACATTTTTCCTTTTCACTACTGCCCTAGCTAGATGGAATTCAAATATTTCAACTTTACCATCTCCTTCCTCTTCTAGGAGTTGTACATAAGCTGATAGGATCTGGTACAGCCAAGATTCGTGTATCTCTCATGGCGGTTAAAACCCAGGAAGCATTTTGTAAATTCTGCTTTACACACATGAATGAACTAAGGAGTAATTACTCTAATAACAACAGACATAACCACTGAAACTGTGCACATTAGGTCTGATGTTGAACCTAATTCTTTTGGTTACCTATTTTATCCGAGGGCAAACCTATGGTATGTATTATTGTGGTCTTTACGTTGGATACCAAGGCTAAGAAACATTCAGTAACTTGCTCATAGTAAGCTACTGTTCTAGAATCAAAATATGTCATGATTTCAGGCCCAATCTTCTTAACTACTGTCAGTGTTCCCACTGTCAATGTTAATAACAATATTGATATTCACTACTTCAGTATCTTTAGCGTTTACTATGTTACATACACACACTGCATAATAATATGCCTTAATCCCCCCAATAACTCATTACCCATTAGTGTGCATTCCTTTCGTTTCCTGTCCTTGATGACTATGGGTAAGTTATTTAACCTCTGAAGTGCTATTTTTTGTTTATAAAACATGGATAATCCGATTCCTAAGGCCCCTGTGACAACTCCAGGATGAAGTTATCTAGCACATTGTCTGTGTGTCCTGCATGCAAAACACACGATATGCCTCAAACTGAAGCCCCCTTTGTTTGAATTCAACTTAATTCATTCAACACTGCTTGGAGAGACCATTCATTTGCAAAGCAGCACCTTAGAAATATCGTGTGTCCAAACTCTAACTGAAATATCTCAGGATGTCTTTCAACTCAAGCTGCAAGCAACTCTCTTAAAGGATAAACACCAGTTTTCAAGAGAAAGGATAGGGGTCTCAGAGGGACACAGTCTCCAAAGGCCAGATATGGTGTGTGTCTCCACAGGATGATGCCAACGGCTGGATGTATGAAGTATATTTCTCTAATTAAAAATTAGCACCCCGCTTAAGAAGGTTGTGGACATATATATAATCTTAAGTGTACACTAGATGATTTCTTTACATAGGAATACACCCCTGTAACCCCACCCAAGACAAACATGGAACGTTTCCGGAACCCCATAAGCCCCCCCCCCCAACCCAGAGTGATTTAAAATCAACAGAGAAAGGCGCTCTAAAATCAGAACTGAATGCGGAAAGTGAAGAACTTTCAACGCTAGGCAGCAAAGAAGGTTGGATATGAGAAAGGTCATTGGTAAGACAAACCCGACTTCTGGCTTCTTTCGAATGGTGCATACAGAGTGCTTCTGTGTGCTCCTGTTCGTTTTGTTCCTCCGTCATCACAAGGACTGCGACATGGGCCAGACTTAATCCTATTTTGCATGTGAGGAAACAAACTTGTTCAGGGTTTTGGAGGAGAATGACTCCAACAGCAGCAGAAGAGCCAGCTGTGGGATCAGATCAGCAAATCCATCCACGTGGCAGAGGGACCTGGGAGGGCCAGGCGTCAGGTTACCAGGCAGCGCTGCCACAGCCGGTATAAAAGCCCTGACCGGCTGTCCTGGAACACCAGCAATCAACCTCGCCGCGCGCGTGCTTTGAATTTCTCAGCATCTCTCGGGTTTGAAAACCATCTGACTCCGAACACCAGGTATATGAATTGGGAACCCAATTCCCTCCAGACTGTGAGACCTGAGTGGCCTGAAGCTCTTTGAAAGGAGTCACCGTTTCTCTCTCTCTCTCTCTCTCTCTCTCTCTCTGTGTGTGTGTGTGTGTGTGTGTGTGTGTGTGTGTGTGTGTGTGTTCTCGCTGACTGGAGTGATATTAGACTTTTGAGGTGTCAGGATGCACAAATGCACAAATCAAAGCACCTTTTGGCACCAGGGACAGAGGCTAAAGTTAGAAGACAAAGGTAGCAGGGCCAGTAAGGAAGGATGGAGAAGACTGCAGCAAGCTGCAAATCTACATGACAGCCGATTGGAAACGGGGCAGGTGATAAACGACCGTTTTTCAAACTCTGAAAACAGTTTGCAACGGAGGTGACAGATGCATTTTGCCTTGTAGGGGTCTGGACAGGACGAAATCGGGAAAAAAAAAAAAAGGGGGGGGTGGGGAGAAATTCCCGCTTTCCTCCAGGCTGCCTCTGACAGAAGTGCGTTTGAATATTGCAGGCAGCCCCAAAGAGGATCACCGGGTTCCAAGACCAGCGGCTAGATGTGGTGCCTGGAGCGGCTCCTGCGGAACCGAGACGGGTTTCTCTCCGGGCGCGTCCGCCGCACCAAAGCGCGATCGTCCGCTGCGTGCGTAAACGTGCTCACTCCAGACCGCATCCCAGAGTTCTGCATCCCACCAAGACTGGAGCCTAGCACGACCTGGGCTGCGCTACGTGATGCCTGGGCTGCGGATGCGGAGACGGACGACCACGCGGGTCGCACCGACTGGGACCCGCGCTCACAAGCCGCGCTCTCGCTGCCGCACCTGCCCCGCGCACGCACAGCCTATGGCTTCTGCGCGCTGCTCGAGAGCCCGCACACGCGCCGAAAGGAGTCGCTCTTCCTCGGCCACCCAAGCGCCCTGGTTCCCCGGCCTGGACTTCGCCGCCGCGCGCACACCTACGCAAGTCCGCGCCGAGTCCCGGACGCCCCGCGCCCCGCGCCTCGTAACCTAGATGCCTCCCGGGTCCTGCCGCCCACTCCTGCTCCCCGTAGACACCGCCTCCTGCGCGTCCCCGATGGGCTGCTGAGCCGCGCGCTGCGGGCCCCTCGAGGTCGGACCAGCGCGTGCTCCCCGTCCTCACGCGACAAGCATGAGAGCGCCGCCGCCTGCGCGCCCCCGGTCCCTGCGGGCCCACGCCCGGAGCGCCTGCAAGCCGAGGCCAGCGTGGCCCTGGGCCGCGGGGATTGCACGCTGCGCCTGGCCGCCGAGTACTGTCCGCGCAGCGCGTGTCTCCGCCTCCGCCTGCTGCGCGCTGAGGGTCCGGCCGCCGCGCTCGAACCCCGAGCCCTGGGCTGCCGCCTCAGCCTGGTGCTGCGGCCGTCGGGCCAGCAGCGCGCCAGCGTTTTCCGCCGCAGCCGCAAGGCCGCCCTGGACCAGGACTGCTGCTTCGATGGGCTCTCGGAGGAGCAGCTGTGCCGCCTGGCCGTGCGCATCAAGGTTGAGAGCAAGGGCCGCGGGCTGGAGCGTGGAAGGCCGCTGGGCCAGGGTGAGCTGCTGCTGGGCTCGCTGCTGCTGCTCTGAGCCCTGATTCCGTGGGGGCCATGGACACTGAAGGTCGCTTGGCTCTGAGATGCTCACACTCTTGGCCCTGGGACACTTGGAGACAGTCTTAACTTTTGGTCCTGGAACACTCACAGCCTCTTGGCTCTTGAACCCTTCAAAGTTGCTTGGCTCTGAGACACTCCCAACACTTGAACCCTGAGAGTCGCCTTATCCTGGCACACTCACAACCTCTTGGCTTTTGGACATGGATGAGCCATTTGTACAAAATAAACATGTCTTCATTTTTCTAATCAGGGCTTTGTTTCAATCCAATCCTGGCAGAGATGATCCTAGATTATCACAGTAACAGATGTAACTTATTTTTGTGTGGGCAGACACCTTGAAATTTCGGTTGAGCAATGGGGTAGTGTTGAGCAGTGTTTCGCACTGTAGACAGCAATTGTATTTCATATGTATCACACACTTGAACTGGAAGGTAGTTAATATTATGCAGTGTTAGACCAGCCTCGTTTTATAAGTTCGTTCATTTCATGGTATCTTTTGAGACTTATAGTGTCAGTTACTTCTGACGCATTAAGATGTTGCATAAGAAGGGCCAGGGTCTAGTAAGATTGCTGAGTGGGTAGAAAGTGTTTGCCACTACACCTCATCACCTGAATTAGAATCTAGTGAGGACTGTGAGACCTACATGATGGAGAGGAAAAATCCCTGCAAGTTTTCCTCTGGCATGACCTCCCCCCAACACAACATAAATAACGTAGTTAAATCATTTTTTAATAAAAGGCCAGGAAGAAATGACTCCAAGCAGGGAGTCCACTCATATCCTAAGCTCCATCCTGCTAGGAATACAATAAAGATGTGGAAATCATTTTAACATTTAAGTAACAGTCATAATAGCTTTACAGGTTTTAACTTGTTTCATTTGGACAGCAGCCCTAGATAGAAGGCACTACCATCCCCATCTTGCAGATGAGGCATAGAGTAAAGAGAAGTCAGGGCATCAGTATTTCACTCACTAAAATGCTTGTCTGGGAATGGGGGTATAATTCAGTTGGTACAGTGCTTGCCTGGCATGTACAACACCCCAGGTTCTATCCCCAGAGCTGCACAAACCTTAGGTCCTATTAACTCATACCTGTAATCTCAGTACTGGGAGGTGGAAGCAGATGCATGAGAAGTTCAAGGCCATCCTCGGCTACATAGGGAGTTAAAAGCCAGCATAAGCTACATGAGACCCTGCATGAAAAAAATAAACAAAATGCCCATCCTCTGAATGTGATGAGATTTTGCAACTTGTCTGAACATTGCCCCGAGTTTGAAATCATATTCCTTACTTTCATCGGGGAAAGCAGACTGGTGGAAATAGTGATATGTGGATGAATGAATGTTAATGACATCAGTCCGAGGCTGAGGCAAATGCTAACCTGCCTCAGACCCACAGGGTCCAGAACCCCAATTTCACTAGCTCAGGTCCAGCTAACATGCCAGGGCCAGCAGTCTGGAGAGCACACAGAACAGTATTCTACCTCTGGCTTCTCATAAGCTTTCCCATGTCTTGAGAATGAGTTTCCTTCATCCCTCATACTCACTACCCAGCTGGTTTACTCCTTCCTTTCGTGTTCATGTAAGTGGAAAACATATCCTAAGCAAGGGCAGAAGACGTTAAAACATACAATTCAGTGTAAATTGTGGCTACATTATCAAACTGAACTTAGAAATGCTTTCTGTTGCCACTTAACTTGGTAGTTTTAACCATGGGTGCTTGTGAAGACTGCTATTTAGAAGAGTTTCCCTTTCTGGTACATCTCAAACTGAATACAGGTTACTAATGGTGGGGATTTACAACAGCAACCATTGGAAAGTTATAGACACAGTCTAAAGCACCTGCTCCCAAAACCTTGCTATTGCGGGCCACCTGAGTGATAGCATAACAGTAGCTCTTGTCTGACTCATGCCCCTTTTCCCTGTTTATAATATTCTCACCCTTCAAGCCAATTGTTTTTGTGGTGGTGGCGGTGGTGGTGGTAGTGGTGTATTTTGTTTTTTGTTTGGTTTGATTTGGTTTGGGTTTGGTTTTTTTTGTTTGTTTGTTTGTTTGGTTGGTTGGTTGGTTGGTTGGTTGGTTGGTTTTGGTTTTTCAAAATAGGGTTTCTCTGTGTAACCCTGGATGTCCTAGAACTCACTTTGTAGAACAGGCTGGCCTCAAACTCAACAGAGATCTGCCTGCCTCTGCCTCCACAGGGCTGGAATTGAAGGCCTGTGCCACCACTGCCCGACTCCAGCTGTTTTTTAATGCATAAACGTTTTCGTGACTTTAGAGGTCTCCTAAGATGAAAATAGAAAGTGAAAACAACTTATCTCCATGACATGTTGCTGTGGTTTCTGTTTTCTTTGCATCATTAGTCAAGGTATAGTCAGTCCTTATTCTAGATAGCGCTGCCGTCTCTGTCCTTGCTAGATTAGAAGCATGTCACTTATTAAGTAATTTTCCCCCAAAAGGTAAATTAATGTATTTGAAGATCCTCAATCCTGGTGGGTACTTCTAAACCAGAATCTCCATCAATTAAAGTTATGGTTGACTGAAAGTCCAAGACTGTATTCAGAAGGATTTCTAAAAGACTGTAATATAATTTTTTTAAAAAAATAAATAACTGAACTATGTAATTCCAGTTTGAAAAAGAACTTTAAGTATCATTTTGTGCAACTGTGTAATGTCTTAAGAGTGGATCAGAATGGCAAATAGTAAATTGCTTCAAATCACATTACTATAAGAGTTAAAGCCAGAACTAATTCTTTTGTCTTTTAATCTAGAGAACTCCCACACTACTAATTCCAAAAAGGGAAATATTTTTTGCTTACATTTATTTCACATCATTAAATTAATCTGAATTACATTTAACAAATCATATTTGTAATATATATTTTTACTCTACCATCCGTCTTTTCTGGGCGAAGTTAAGCTTGGTTTGTGCTTGCTGCCCTCTAGTGGAGTGCTCCAGGGTTTGCTTGTGGCTCTCACCTTGTTAGACCATCTCAGGTAATCCCAAATTCAGTTTTCTTTTCCTTCCTCCCTCCCTCCCTCCCTTCCTCCCTCCCTCCCCCCCCTCTCTCTTTCTTTCTTTCTTTTTCTTTCTTTCTAGTGTCTCCTGTAGTCCAGTCTGGCCATCTCAAACTAGTTATGTAGCCAAAGATGACTTTGAACTTCTGATTCTCCAACCTCCACCTCCCAAGTGCTGGAATTAGGGGCATTTGTCACCACAGCTGGCTCAGAACCGGATGTCCTTGAAGTTGCTTATTAATATCAGATTGTAGTAAAAATCCCCAAATAAAAACATAACTAAAAATGAATGATAGAGCCGGGCGGTGGTGGCGCACGCCTTTAATCCCAGCACTCGGGAGGCAGAGGCAGGTGGATCTCTGTGAGTTCGAGGCCAGCCTGGGCTACCAAGTGAGTTCCAGGAAAGGCACAAAGCTACACAGAGAAACCCTGTCTCGAAAAACCAAAAAAAAAAAAAAAATGAATGATAGAGAAGGTGTAAAAAACAGCTTTCAAATGAAAAAGGGAGAGCTTGACGGTGCACGTTTATAATCTCGGCCCTCAGATGGCAGAATCCAGAAAATCCCCACAAGTTCAAGTCCAGCTTGAGCTACATAATAAGACCCTGTATTAAAAGGAGAGAAGGGGCCGGGCAGTGGTGGCGCACGCCTTTAATCCCAGCACTTGGGAGGCAGAGGCAGGCGGATCTCTGTGAGTTCGAGGCCAGCCTGGTCTATAGAGTGAGTTCCAGGACAGACTCCAAAGAAAAGAAAAGAAAAGGGGTTGGGGATTTAGCTCAGTGGTAGAGTGCTTGCCTAGCAAGCACAAGGCCCTGGGTTCGATCCTTAGCTCTGGGAAAAAAGGAGAGAAGGGGAGGGGAAAAGGGAGAGAGAGAGAGAAAGAGAGAGAGAGAGAGAGAGAGAGAGAGAGAGAGAGAGAGAGAGAGAGAGAGAGAGAAGAGATCACAACTAATTTTGCCCTAGTACAGCGGTTCTTTGATATCCCCAGAGGTTGGTTTTTGGATCAGTACAGATGTCAAAATATTCAGGTGCTCCAAGTCCATTATACAAAATGATACATTGTTTTCTTATTTGCATACAGCTATGCACATCCTCTCAAACACTCATCTAAATCATGTGTAGGTTGTTTATCATACCTAACACAATGTAAATGCTCTGTTAAGTAGATTTTATGTGTGTTGTGTAGGGAATTATAATAAGAAAAACATCTGCATTACTAGTACAGAGGCAATTGAACCAGTATTTCAATGCACAGTTGGTTGAATGTATTAGCCAAGTATTTTGTAAAGGGCTGTGTGCGTGTTGACAGTGGCTTGTTAGTTTCAGAAACCTACTGTAGCCATGCTCTGGGGCTGGAAAGATGGCTCAGGGGTTAAGAGAACTTGCTGCTCTTGCTGGGTTCAGTTCCCAGCACCTACACCAGTGGTCTCATAACCATCTGTAACTCCAACTCCTGGGGATCCGATGTCCTCTTCTGAGCTCTGTGGACACCTTCATACACGTGGTGCACATACAGACACGCAGACATGCACACATACAAGCTACAGGAATACTTAGCCCAAACAGTGGCTGGGGAGCTAGAAGCTCACAAAGAACATATTTGCCATTTAAGAAAAAAACAAACCAAAACATAAAATGAAAACAAGGAAGGAAAGAAAAAAAACCGTTGTATTATATACCCATCGTGATGATTTATATTCATTGGTCCACTTGACAGGAGCAATACTCACCTACAGGACCAAGCTGTGAGCATGTCCGTGAGGGAGCTTCTGGATTAGGTTCATTAAGGTGGGGAGGCCTACCTGAACTGAGGGCAGCGACCTTCTCAGGGCTGGGATCCAAACGGAAAGAAGATGGGCTTAGCGCCAGCATTCATCTCTCTTCACTTCCTGAATGAAGAAGTGATGTGAGCTGCTGCTTCAGCCTCCTGCCTCCGTGATTCCCCACCATGATGAACTGTACCACGTGTCTAGGAGACCAGCGGTCCTTCCTTCCTTCAGTTGTTTTGGTCAGGTATTCAGTAACAACAACGAGAAAAGTGACTGATACACCCACTAATGTCCCCCAAAGCCAGTTTGAGCACAGTGTATCCTTCTTTTAAATTGATGCCATGGCTGTTATAGGCCCATAATAATTCATAGCTCATGAAATTTTGCTATATCCATGCCAAAAAATTGTAAAAGCTGGCTTTATAAGCACAGTAGGAGATTTCAGATTAATTTCCTATTTGTTTTACATTGACTTTACAAGTCTGGGGGCAGAAGATCTTCTTTATAGATCAGGATTCAACTGGGAATACTTCCAACTAGTGCCGGGGTCTTAGTAGACTCCCTGGGAAAGTGGTACCTTGAAATGGATCACCTAGCTGATGTGTAGACATTTTGAAATGGCATTGTCTTCTACAGCATCCATACTCAAGAAATGCACGACCGAGTTATCCAAACCAGTCATGTTTTCCGTTAAGTTTACCATCTTGCGTCCATTCATAGCTATCCTTGGTAGAATGTGGCTGCGCGGATCCCACAGACTCCAGTTGCACACGCCTGAACAAATTCGGACCCCTTTTAATCTTCTCTACTTCCCTTGCTTCAATATCACGGTGATCACCTCCGGGCCACTTTTTCCTTGTATTTCAAGAGGCTCTGCCCACATCTAGTGTCCTCACCTAGGCCCTGGGAACTGCTGTGAATCGCTGATATGAAGTGTAAAAGAAAAATCAGATGCAAGTCATCTTTGGGTCAGGTCCACGTCACACCTAAGCTCCTGTTTGGGAAGTTAAATGCATGAATTGTCTTTGTAAAATGAAGTAACAACGCAGCAGTTTTCAAGGGAGGCCTTACCCTCTATGAGGAGGGAATGGGGTGGGGTAGGGTTAGGTGGCGGGGAGGGGGGGGGGAGCAGGAGAAGAGGAGGGAGGGGGAACAGGGGTTGGTATCTATAAGGAAAGAAAAAACATTTTATATATAAAAAAAAACCAAAGCAGTGGTTTTTAAGTTTTTACTCAACAAAAGTCATTTGAACTGGCATATTGCCGGGCGGTGGTGGCGCACGCCTTTAATCCCAGCATTTGGGAGGCAGAGGCATCTGTGAGTTCGAGGCCAGCCTGGTCTACAGAGAGAGTGAGTTCCAGTATAGACTCCAAAGCTACACGGAGAGAAACCTTGTCTCAAAAAAAAAAACAAAACAAAACAAAAAAAAAAAAAAAACCAAACTGGTATATTACTTTGTTGTCTAGAAGGTTTTCTTTGAGCATATGAAAACATTGAAACCACAGAGGCAGGACTAAGCTTTATCCATGCAGCTAGAGCCCAGCAAGAAACATGAGCACTCTTTTTTCCCCATCCCACCCTCTATATTATCCATATATCTGTATGTCCAATTTTACATATGTCTGTATGTGCACCACATGTATGCAGTTACTCACAGAAGCCAGAAGAGGGTGCCAGATCCCCTGGAGCTGGAGTTACAGGTGGTTGTGAGCTAGCTGCTTGATGTGAGTGCTGGGAACTGAACCTGGGTCCTCAACAAGATGATGAACCCATTGCTCCTAACAGCTTCTGGATGCTCCCTGATGAGCCTTGTTTTCCTCCTCCTCTTACCGCCTCTCTCCCACCCCAAGAAGCTGCTCATCTGCTTTCTATTACCGTAAATGACTTTGCACTTACGGGATTTTGTGTGAATGGAAAAGCAGAGTATTCTTTTTGGTAGGTGTGGCTCCTGTTCCATGGGTTGCTATGCAGTGTATCCATGCCATTTCCCATATCGACGGTATTTTCTTTCAGACTGCTGAAGATGACCATTGAATGGAAATGCTGAGATTCTTTTATGCATGCACCTGTCCGAACTGTTTTCTATTTCTTCTGTTTGCCATTTCTCCCCCCCCCCTTTTCTCTTTTTTTCCTCCAGTCTTGGATTTTAATTAAGCACGTATATGATTATTTTTCTCTTCCCTCTTAGCATTTCAACTATATTTCTAATTTTTCAACTATATAATTTTTCTAGGAGTTTCCCTAGCCTGTGTGTGTATGTAGTATGAATTATAACTAAATATAACCCACTTTCCCCACCATGAGACAGAATCTCATGGTCTCATGTAGCCCAGGCTGACTTCAAACTTACTATGCAGCCAAGGATCACCTTGACTCCTTGATTCTCCCACCTCGATCTCCCGTGTGCTAGGACTACTGCCACGTGTCATGAAGCAGGACTAAATCCACTTTCTAGTAACACAGCACTGATTAATGCTGTCAACCTAGAGTAACAGAGAAGAGAGTCACAAAAGGATAATATTTATTTGGGGATAGCCGAGCAACAGCAAAACATGTCATAGCAAACCATGGGCAAGTCCACAGAGGCTGAGGCAAGAGGAAGTTTTTAAAGGTGAAATGGGAAATGTCACTTGTGGTGTTTCAAAATAACAACGCTTGGCCGCAGGGATACAATAGCAAGAGCGGAAGTAGCTCAAGTTTAAGTTGATAGGTGCTGGGCAACGTCTTCACGGTAGGTCTGGTGACCCACATGTAAGGTCATGGTTCTGTGAGTCTTCTGTGAATTTATTATTGCTCTATCTTCTCAGAAGGTCTGGTGACCCTCGTATAAGGTCATGCATGGT